TCTCCGGCGGCGGCAGATGATGGTGGCGGCCGGCGCGCTGGGCTGTGCCTGTGCGTCGCCGCGGAAATCTGCGCCCGGCGCTGCACGCTGAGCCCTTGCAGGTCCGCAGCAGCCCGAACCTCGGCGAGGACCGACCCGGTGCGCCGGGGGCCACGGACCTGCACGCCCAAGGAGACCGGGGGGCAAGTGGGGTCGGCTTATCATGGCGGATCGGACAGCTCCCAGCTGCCAGCTGCGGCTGGAGTGGGTGTACGGGTACCGGGGTCACCAGTGCCGCAACAACCTGTACTACACAGCCGGCAAGGAGGTGGTCTACTTCGTGGCTGGGGTCGGGGTGGTGTACAACACCCGCGAGCACAGCCAGAAATTCTTCTTGGGACACAACGACGACATTATCAGGTAAGGGGGTGGAGAGGCCGGGGCGGGGGGGGGGTCAGGGGGGTGGAGAATGGAAGGGTGGGGAGAAAGAAAAACAAATGACCAGTTGGGCTCTTGGAGGGTCAGATCCGGGCGCCCCGTGGAATAAAGGATTCTTCTCAGGAGCCGCATGGAATTACAGAGGAGCCGCTGGTTCTAGGGCTAGGGCCCAAATGGGGTGGGGGGGGCAGTGGTGGCAGGTGGGGAGGGAGAGGTTTCTCATTACTCCTGCTTTTTGTTGTTCATTCCTGCTACAAGTGGAAGGACGGACGGGGTAACTGTCTCCTTCCTCCCTCCCTTACTAGGTGAATGGTTAGGACCAATAGCTGGACTGGGTGGCATCCTTGAGGGGCTCCTCAGCAAACAAGAGGAGTCTAAAGAAATCCCAAAGAAAATTTTGCCACAGGCAATTTGTAATCTTTATCTCAGACACTTCGGACCTCCCTGCACTGGGCGGGGAGTTTGTTCTCTGATGTTTTCACCCAGCAGTGTGTTAACGCTCACACACGAACTACCTGGATCTCTCACCACATCACTGAGGTTATAAAGACTGGCAGCTGCTGGACCACAGAATCCTCCCCACAGAATGCTCAGTATTTGGTAGCGGAAGGTGCAGGACCGGTTGATTGAAGAACTCCACTGGGTGAATAGCTGTGTTAAGGGCGCTGGTGGTTAAATTGAAGGGGGTGGGGTATTTTATGCTATCCCCTTAGCTTCTCTGACCAAACAAGGTCTGGTCCAGATGCTGGCTGTTCCCAGGGAATCCCTTTTTGCCTCCGGCAGTTCAAGGAAATGTCCATGATAGGAACCTCCACTCACAGAAAATGACTTGCAGAGGATGGGCTTCAGCTGACAGAGATCATATTTGTGGGTTTCATTGACAGAGAACATCTTCTATCTCATTTTCAGAATATTACCGCTTTTGTTCTAAGTTTGCCTTTTACAATGAAAGAAGTGATGGAGGTGGTGTAATGTCTTATGGTCCTAATTTCTCAGTGGGGAGAGTAATGAATGAGACAGTTTTCCCTTACTAATATGCTTGTATTCCTGAGCTTTGTTTTTTGAGATGGAAAGTTGAACAGTTGTTATAGAAGGTAAAAACCTAATATTTGAAAACACAGAAAAATATTAACACCTTCCATTTTAGCAGATGAAGAACTGAAGTACCAGGAGCTCTCATGTCCTCAAGATTTGGTGGGACTGACATGTAAAAACTTTCTTCATGTCCCCAAAGATAATAAACTAGCTTTTCCATCTCTCCCTGATATGGTAATGGTGTGACTGGGACATCCTTCCTTAGTTCCAGCCTGCAGATTTTGGTTCTCTAATTGCTAGGCTGATTATTAGAGTCACAGGTGCAAATGATTAACAGTGACTCATGAAAAGGTTGGATGTTTAAAAATTTAAACCCATTATGTTTTTGCTCTGTCTGTCTTAGTGCAGGGCTTTCCACTACAACATCAAAATAAGATGTCCTTTGGGGGAAAGGGGAGAGTGGCAATTAAACAGAAAATTCCCTGGGGTTAGATAATATTAATGTTCATTGAACTACTTTGAAGATTTGAACTCTTAATCCTAGTTCTTTCTTTAATAGAGGAAAAAATCAAATGCACAGTTGAAACGGAAGGGGGGAGAAGGGTGGCGTTGCAGTATGACAGCTGGGTTAGTGGGGCTAGGATTCGATCTGGCTTGGGTGCTTAAGAAACTCAAATGGGAAGAAAAGGTGAATGAACTTATTTGTATAACTGGATTTGTAGAGAGCTTTAATTGATGAAAAGGAAAAAAGTTTACCTTCTGTTTATTAAGATGATGATGTCTACGCTGAATACTGACATCATATAGCACATCTGTTTTCAGAGAGAGGTCTTTACTGCTAAATTCTTCATGATGTTTGAGTCTTAAGTCTGTACAGGTGTGCTGAGCTCTCTAACATTTGTGTCTTTGCCAAAAGGAATAAAATGAAGCCTAGTGGGTTAAAACCCACAAACTACAGACCTTTATGTAATTAAGATCCATAAAATTGGAATGCTTATGCTGGTTTTTTTTTTTTTTTGCATTTTCTTACATATGTGAATATCTTTACCTGATCAAGGCCTTACACAAGCCACAGCACACATTCATGCGTTTCAACTCCTTTATGTGAATGGTAGACATAATGTAGGTAGACCCTAGTATTCTACCATTTTTCTACTGAATAAATTGAAGTTCGTCATTAAGAGGAGGATAATAAGCTGTTTTAATGCGAAATATTTTGGATTTTTTTGAATTGTACATGAATATGAAATTTTTTTGCTCTTGATTGTATCAAATGAGAGCACAAGTAATTGTCCACTTCATTTTAAATACCTGTTCATATGCATGTATTTTCTACCACTTTTGTGTATGTGTAGCTTTGTCTAGAATATTAGGTAGAAAGTAGCTCAACCAACATTGCTAACACACTCCATTTTGTGAAATGTGTGCCCTCTGAGATCACGAAGAACCTTCATAATGATGTAGGATTTGGCAGAGCTCATTAGAGCTCAGCATATGTCCTCTTGCTTTGACAGGCTGTGCATTTAAGTCAGATTTTTAGAAATGATGGTACATGAGGCATAATGTGATTTATTGGATATGGAGGCTTAATTTTATTCTCTTGAATGATTGCTTTTCAATGCAGATAACAGATTAGAGAATGATGCCATATTTTAGCCCCGATAAGGGCTAAAACGTGACGAGACAAATACCTACAGCATTGCTTGCTATTGGGTCAACAGTAGGACTCAAATTAGGGATTGAAGGGAAGGACAGTACTAGGGCGGGATGTGGCTTCTGCTTCAGTGAACAGAACATGATATACAAGGGGCATTAATGAAAGAAAAGTCATGATAAATTCACTCTCTGCCCCTTCTGTTTTCACAGTGACTCCTGCTGAGATATTTGATCTTGTCACTCTGGATCTCAATATTGCTTCTGGATAGTTCTCACCTCTGGATACTTCTCATCTCTTGGTAGTTCCCACTTCTGGATAGTTCCTACCTCCGGATAGTTTGTCTTTCTGTTTCATTCTCCCGTATTTCAGCTCGGTATTGCAAGGGATTCCATTATCGGCAGTGCTATTTTAGGGGAAAGGATACTGACTTCAACATCACCAGTGTGTGGGTCTGAGCCCCACTTTTCCATTTACTGGAGGCTTTCACTGACTGGTGTTACCTCTCAGAGCTTTGTGTGTTTGTGAAATGGAGTGACAACATTTAAAACTGCAGAGTTGTTAGAAATAATGTCTGTGAAAGGTTTAGAGTGGGGCGGTCATACTTTGGCTGGTGCTCAATAAGTGTTCTTCATTATAGCAGCAGTACTATGTAAGTAAAAACATACAAACCACAACTGAAACAGTTCCTCCTTGTTCACAAGCAGAGTTCAGCTTTCTCAGTTTTACATTTCTCTTACATTTTTTTTTTTTGGGTCCAGTGTGGGGCCTGAACTCTGGGCCTGGGCACTGTCCCTCAGCTCTTCAGCTCAAGGCTAGCGCTCTACTACTTGAGCCACAGTGCCACTTGGCTTTTTTCTTTTTGCTTATGTGGTGCTGAGGAATCGAACCCAGGGCCTCAGGCATGCAAGGCAAGCGCTCTACCACTGAGCCACCTTCCCAGCCCCACTTCTCTTGCATTTTATCCTTAATTCACTTAAAAAAATCATGAGCTGTTTTCTTCCAACTTGCCATATAATACAATTATTCTGTTCTTCCCTTAGCTTTTTCCTCTTTTCTCTTCTGCGTCTGTCCACTCTGTCTATAAGTTAAGTGGCTGAGCAAACAAAATGATTTCTTACTAATATATAGAGTTTGTAGGTATCTACTTTATAGTTCGTTGTGAAGATTACATACAAGGTGCCTATGTGATTCAAATATAGGTGCCCACCACAGGGGGTCTGTATCTGCATCCTGCAGGGCACCATCTGCTTCAGTCTCACCTCTGCTGTGGGACTTTCTGCCATGTCAGAGAAAGGATGCCCAGCACCCCTCATGTCCTACATCTTTTATGACCAATGCTGCTCAGCTACTGTGAATTTGATGCCCTTCTTTCATTCTGAATATTTTCCTCTACAAGTGGATATGAGCTCCATGATAGTAAGAATGAGCTAAATGTATGCACAGATTGATCTTCTCCATTCTTTCATCTACCCTGTGAGGGAGGAGGTAGTGCCGCTGACTCCTGTACTAGTGAAGCAGCAGGCATGGAGGTTAAGGGTCTTGCCCTTGGTCACTATCAAGCTGATTGTAGAATGGGAATGTGAATCCAGATGAGTCTGATTCCAAGGCCTGAGGCTACTACCTCACTGCTTTTTGGTCTTTTGTCTTGGATGTGATGGTTCCTACCAAAGTGTGACTAGCTACAGCTCAATGAGTTTATCCTCATTTTGACTTTATCTAGTAGTCTATAAATCTTGTGCTTTATTCAAGAGTACTTGAAACAGATTGCTAGAACTCAGTCTAGAAATGGAATCACGTTCAAGTTCACTTTAAGAACATCATGGAATCATGTTCAAGTTCACTTTAAGAACATCACCAATGTTGAAGCAATGACCTGAAATGATCTACTAGAGATGTTTAATTAAAAAATGTTTTTAAAGTCTAAATTGTGACATGCTAAAATAATCTAGTGCTGAAAATACAACTGAACTTGTTGGCTTTGAAGAGAGCTGTATGACTGCTGTGGTTGGGCCTAGGATGAGAAGTAAGCAGATACATATGAAGGCATCAAGATGTGATTTTTATATTTTTATATTTATATCAAGATGTGATATTTATATTCATCCTGTGACCTGTTTGGATGAGAGAAACATGGCGATAGGTAAAGAATTAAATTCTGAGCTGGAGATGTACATCTGTAGTAGAGTACTTGTTTAGTGTGTGTACAAGACCCTGAGTTCAATCTCCAGTACCACAAAAAAAAAAAAAAGCCTATGTGGCTACTCAGGCAAGAACATGAACAAGAGTATGA